CTTTCATTCCTTCCTTCCTTCCCTTCTTCCCTTCTTCCCTTCTTCCCTTCTTCCCTTCTTCCCTTCTTCCCTTCTTCCCTTCCTTCCCTTCCTTCCCTTCCTTCCCTTCCTTCCCTTCCTTCCCTTCCTTCCCTTCCTTCCCTTCCTTCCCTTCCTTCCCTTCCTTCGCTCCGTCCCAGCGAAGTTTCCCCAAGCTATTTTCCCTTCCTTCCTTCCTTTTCCTTCCTTCCTTTTCCTTCCCTTCCTTTCCTTCTTCCTTCCCTTCCTTCCTTCCTTTTCCTTCCTTCCTTTTCCTTCCTTCCTTTTCCTTCCTTCCTTTTCCGTCCTTCCTTTTCCTTCCTTCCTTTTCCTTCCTTCCTTTTTTCCTTTCTTCCTTTTCCTTCCTTCCTTTTCCTTCCTTCCTTTTCCTTCCTTCCTTTTCCTTCCTTCCTTCCTTCCTTTTCCTTCCTTCCTTTTCCTTCCTTCCTTTTCCTTCCTTTCTCTTCCTTCCTTCCTTTTCCTTCCTTCCTTTTCCTTCCTTCCTTTTCCTTCCTTCCTTTTCCTTCCTTCCTTTTCCTTCCTTCCTTTTCCTTCCTTCCTTTTCCTTCCTTCCTTTTCCCTCCTTCCTTTTCCTTCCTTCCTTTTCCTTCCTTCCTTTTCCTTCCTTCCTTTTCCTTCCTTCCTTTTCCTTCCTCCCTTTTCCTTCCTCCCTTTTCCTTCCTTCCTTTTCCTTCCTTCCTTTTCCTTCCTTCCTTTTCCTTCCTTCCTTTTCCTTCCTTCCTTTTCCTTCCTTCCTTTTCCTTCCTTCCTTTTCCTTCCTTCCTTTTCCTTCCTTCCTTTTCCTTCCTTCCTTTTCCTTCTTTCCTTTTCCTTCCTTCCTTTTCCTTCCTTCCTTTTCCTTCCTTCCTTTTCCTTCCTTCCTTTTCCTTCTTTCCTTTTCCTTCCTTCCTTTTCCTTCCTTCCTTTTCCTTCCTTCCTTTTCCTTCCTTCCTTTTCCTTCCTTCCTTTTCCTTCCTTCCTTTTCCTTCCTTCCTTTTCCTTCCTTCTCCTTCCTTTTCCTTCCTCTTCCTTCCTTTTCCTTCCTCTTCCTTCCTTTTCCTTCCTTTTCCTTCCTTTTCCTTCCTTTTCCTTCCTTTTCCTTCCTTTTCCTTCCTTTTCCTTCCTTTTCCTTCCTTTTCCTTCCTTTTCCTTCCTTTTCCTTCCTTTCCTTCCTTCCTTTTCCTTCCTTCCTTTTCCTTCCTTCCTTTTCCTTCCTTCCTTCCTTCCATCCAACACATCTCCGTCGACCACTCAGTCTCGCTCCCCCGCGGCGAGTGCAACTAAACGAGAACCCAAGCATCGGAGATGCTTTTGGGAAAAAAACAAAAAAACGCACAATCATAAACAGATCTAAAAAGAACACATGCTTATCATACCTTATCATGTTCCTTTGGCCTTTCTCTGCCTTCAGCCTTCTGCCTTGCAACGGTGTGGTATCATGGGGTATCGACAGGCTGTGTGAGCAAAAAAAACTAATTGTTAGATTCGCGCGTGAACTTTGGGATCTTTGGGGTACGTAAAAAAAAAAAAACAACAGTATAAGGTTCCGAAACCTGGTGTTTGTGTGAATTTTGTTTCTCGCTTTCCCCCGTGCCTAGGCTTTTTGAACCCTACAAAATTACCACAAACACCAGGTTTCCCCGATTTTTTCGATGCATCCCCCCCATAAAACCAGCACAGTAGCACAGCAATTCTGGGGATTCCTTGGTCCAAGCACGGCGATGAAGGCACCCAGCCAACCTACAAAGTTCAAAATCGTCCATGCCTTGGCTTTTTGAACCCTACAAAGTTCAAAAGTGTAGGGGGTGATCTGGACCTTGGCACTTTGAACTTTGTAGGGTTCAAAAAGCCCAGGTACGAAGAAGCGAGAAACAAAATTCACACAGACTCCCATGAAACCAGCACAGTAGCACAGCATCACCCAGACAATTCTGGGGATTCCTTGGTCCAAGCACAGCGATGAAGGCACCCAGCCAGCCTACAAAGCTCAAAATCGTCCATGCCTGGGTTTTTTGAACCCTACAAAGTTCAAAGTACCAAGGCCCGGAACCTTATACTGTTTTTTTTTAAACGTACCCCAAACATCCCAAAGTTCACGCGCGAATCTAACAGTTAGTTTTTTTCCTCACACAGCCTGCCGATACCCCATGATACCACACAGTTGCGAGGAAGAAGGCTGAAGGCAGAGAAGAGCCGAAGGAAGACATAACAAATCAGCATGTACTGGTATCTGCCAGAGACATGTTTCCGCATGCAGGAGTGTGCCGTTGGGGGGAAAATGCGCGCGCAGTTACAAAGGAAATGTCTACAAAGTTCAAGGTTTTGCTACAAAGTTCAAACTGGGTTGGAAAAATGAGGTGAAAATTCAGAGCCTTTTTCCAAGGCACGTTGCAGCTTGAATTTTGTAGATTGTTTTGTTTGTTTAAGCCTTAATTGAATTGGATTGGGTTTTGGTTTTGTACAACTTTGAACTTTGTAGAGGCTCAAAACAATGTGGGTACTACCCACCTTGAACTTTGTAGTGATGATCCGGGGGTGTCCGGGGACCATTTCGCAATTTGTGGCTGCAAAGTTCGGCGCCCAACTAACTGCTGGAATTCTCATCCGGTATAAGATATAATATACATATTATCGAAGGAAGTTTAGAAGTGAAACTTCCGACAATATGGACAGTTGAAAAGCAGAGGTGAGAAGAGTCAGAAGAGACAAGATCAGAAGAAAGAAGATGCAGATGCGCGAAAAGGTAGGAAAGTCGCGAAACACTGTGTTTTTCTAATGATTTGTGGCTCCGGAGGGTCGAAAAGTAGGCTCGCTAAAGCGGCGGGTGCGGAGCCAGCTGGCCAGATGAGACATGAAAAAGTGCACGCCGTTGTGGCGCGAAGCACATTTCCAAGTCAAAATGGACAAAGCACTAGAGGAGCGGACCACTTTTGGAAGTTGAGATGTCGAAAAAGTGCACGCCGTTGTGGCGCGAAGCACATTTTGAAGTCAAAATGTACAAAACACACCAGGTCGGACCACTTTTGGAAGTTGCGATGTCGAAAAAGTGCACGCCGTTGTGGCGCGAAGCACATTTCCAAGTCAAAATGTACAAAGCACACCACGGACCACTTTTGGAAGTTCGATGTCGAAAAAGTGCACGCCGTTGTGGCGGGAAGCACATTTCCAAGTCAAAATGTTAAAAACTGGGTTCGGACCACTTTTGGAGGTTCAGATGTCGAAAAAGTGTCGAAAAAGTGCACGCCGTTGTGGCGCGAAGCACATTTCGAAGTCAAAAGTGTAAAAAACTGAGGGTTTTGAGCCTTTTTTGACGTGAAGATGTCGAAAAAGTAGACACTGATTAACTTAACTAACTTGACTAACTTAACTAACTTCACTAACTTAACTACCCTAACTTCGACGACAACAGCAACAACAACAACAACACCAACACCAACCACAACAACAACTACTACAACTACAACTACAACAACTACACAACAACTACAACTACAATTACAACTAGAACTACAACTACAACAGCTACAACAACAACAACAACAGCAACAACAACAGCAACAGCAACAACAACTACAACTACAACTACAACTACAACTACAACTACACAACAACTACAACTAGAACTACAACTACAACAACTACAGCTACAACAACTACAACAACAACAACAACTACTACTACTACTACAACTACAACAACAGCAACAACAACAACTACAACTACAACTACAACAACTACAACAACAACTACAACTACTACTACTACAACACTACACAACAACTACAACCACACAACAACTACAACTACAACAACTACAACTACAACTACAAAACAACTACAGCTACAACCATATGACTGCAACTACACTACACTAATTACATTACACCACAACTACAACTCCACTACGCTACAACTACAACTACAGTAACTACAGTTGCAGTACATCACACTACATCCAGCAGTTGTGGGTGAGGTGACCACTGCAACCATTGCAACCATTCCAGCAAACACAACTCCAACCACCTTTCAGTCAATCAGTGGCTTCGCTCTGCCATCCCTGATTCACAACAACCAACTTCTCCTATAGGTTTCCTATTTTTGAAACTTCCGCCACCGCCTTGTGCGGTACTACTGGTATATAAACGGTTGGTAGGGAGTTGGTAGATGTTGCTAGCATTGTTTGACCTTTTTTGCATGTTATGTGCCACCCTGTGCCATCCGGCTGAAGGCCAGATAGAATCCCAACAAAAGTGCGAAGCTTGGAGCGGTGCCATTTTGCACAAATGGAGCAACTCCTACAGTAGGCACGGCTCGGAGGATCTGGTTGAAACATTTTGAAACCTGAGGCCAACATCATGGTGATGGCCTAAGAAGGCTGAGATATCAACGGCAATGCGTTGAATTGTTTGCTTAAAATCCAATTGATTTTGAAGAGCTCATGAAAGCCTTCTTATCTCACGAGTTGCAAGTAGCATCAAGTAGCCATGAAATATCCAGAAACTTTGCAGGGGATGGCCGTTCCCTCATACCATTTGCATGTCGTTGGGATGACAATGTGATTTGGCATCAGTAAAATCACCTGCTCCCAAACTCGCAGACTGGCCTGAAGAACAATTTGGAATGTGACCAGTTCGACTATGTTCGACCAATCGCTTGATATATGAATTGGTTTTATTTTTTTTCATAGGAGTAGGTATGTGTGTTTTTCAATCGTTTTTTTGAACGATCAGTTGCGCACGGTTTCTAGTGCAGCTCAACACCTCGATACGAATTACTGAAATTCATTGAATATGTCACCGTCTAATATGTCTCAAACCATCGGAGCAGCATTGCAAATCACACACAGGTGCCAAAGCTCATTAGACATCAATAGATCAAACTTGCCGTGTTGATTCATTTTGACCGGTATTGGATGATTTTGGATGATTTTGGTCGACTTTGAAATCTTTCATTTTTCTTGCCCACTACACCACAGTTCGCCGCGGGGTGGACACTAAACAAACATCAAAAGTCCACGACATGCCGTCCATCGTCATCGGCGCACGCGACGAAGACGACGAGGAAAGTCCGGTCTTCGCAGCGCCTCCGGAGCCTCCGGTGCCAGTTCCATCACTGCGGGTCCTCTTTGTAGACGATGATGTGACTTGGCGACCGTTAATTTTGGGGCCAAAAATGGCAAAAAAAAAGGCAACTTATGGTTACTTGATGTTACTTGTTGAATCTTGTTGATCATTTGACATGTCCATGTTATAAACATATATATAGTTAATATGTGTGCATGGCAATAGATAATCACCATTTGAAACTGGTTTAAAAACATGTTCAAGAGGAATTCGAGAGGTTTCAAGAGGCACATAATCAGACATAATCATACAGAATCTACAAATGGGTGATGATTCATGGATATTCTATTGCCGTGTTGGTTGACCAGAGAGTATTTGGAGGTAATTGGACGCCTGGACACCCAGGTTTTGAACTCGTCACCTGACCCTCGGGCAATGCGCTTGGATGACGAGCCCTGGCATGCCCCCAGCCTTTTTTCGAAGCCAGTAGGTCGTTTCAGTGATAAATGAATATCTGTGAATTATGTCTGTGCACATTTACTGTATGTGCATATGGTATGTTATCTCACACATACGTTCTTTATATTGATATAATTTTACACACACACACATATATATATATATATATGGTTTCTCCTGTAGGAGATTTATGCATGAAAAGCCTGCTGCGCAGTTTCGGCTCACAGGGGTCGGAGCTGGGGGTGAGCTCCCTTAGGGGAGTCACCCCCAAAAATGGATGGGCTACTAAGGTTTGCCCAGAGAGAAGGCCTAACAGAAGAGGAGGCCCAGAAGACGCTGAGACTGAACCGCCCAGTCACCGAAGGGGGTTGGGTATATGGGATCTGAATCCCTCCTGATAGCAAAGGCAGGAATGAAGGCAGGTCGCTACCTAGAATACACCTGTTATGAATCAACGGGGGCCCCTCAAGGATGGGCCGTTCTGAAGCTGCAGAGTTGGGAAGAAGAAGGAGTTCTGAGGGCCTCCCACGGGGAGCGCTCAGACAAGTACTACCAGTGGTATGTTGACCATGACATCCGGGACAAGGGTGCCTTGTACCACGTGTGCACGGGTAAGCACTCCACTTGCAGGTTCAAACTGCCGAGAGGAGACAGGAGGATTCTGATTCACCTAGACCGGTGGCGGCTATTGAGCCCAGCTACCATGGTACTAGGGGAATACATGAAAGGAAAAGGCGAGACCTGGGGCAGGGTTGTCCTGAAAGAAGCTGCGACAGCTAAGTTGGCAGGATGGCCTCCCCCTAGACCTCCAGGGGGTTCAGGGACTGAAGAGGCTCCTGCAAAGACCGCTGAGGGGCTGTGTGGGGCAGAAGGTAGGGCAAAGAGCCCAAAGGAGGGTCCAAAGAAAAGGCTGCCTGATGATCAGGTCAGAGATCAGGTCATCAGCCAGGATAAACGACGCAGATCGGGGTCCCCCCGCCGGAAAAGACGAGAAGAAGGCAGCGCAAGGAAGGACAAGAGCACGGGTCGCCGACGAGATCCTTCCGAGGATTCTTCGGGAGCCAGGTCCCCGTTGGGCCGTGCGCAGGAGCCACGAGGGGATGCTGATGAACCGCCCTCCAAATACTGAAAGGAAGGCTCATGCACCTAGTGCGGGGGGGTTCAAGATGAACGAGGTCCCCTTCCAGGAGGGAGGTTACCAGGAAGCGAGACACTACAAACCCGCTCCAGGAGGAGGTGCCGGTCTTCGGAAAGGAGAAGTGCGGACCGTTGGAGCCAATGGCGAGTACCAGGCGCCAAATTTGAGAAAGAGCCTGGGCCAGCTGATAGAGAACAAGTAGGAAGCCGGCGGCGTTCAGGCTCCCCCCGGGGAGAAGTCCGTGGGCCAGTTAAGCGAGATAGCGAAGGAGATGAAGGATTGCCAAGCTTCAAGGAAAAAGCCGAGGGAAGATCAAGGTCAACTCCTGGGCCTCGAGGTGGAGAGAACTCGGCAGAATCAAGGTGGAGGAAAAGGCCTGGAAGAGACAACACCCCGGCCCGGCAAAAGTCAGAGTCCAGGTCAGCCCCTCCAGAGAGGGTAAAAGTGAAAAACAAAAGGAGGAGGAAATGGCAAGAAAGATCGGCCAGCATGAAAAGTCAGCAAGTTCGACAGACCAAAAGGGAGCCATCCCAGGGGAGTCGGAAAAGCATCAAAAGGGAGCCAAATAGATCCCCCAGCGAAAGGGTCTCAGCTAGCCCGGCGGCTGGTGAGTGCGACGTGAAGCCCCCTGCAAGCAGATTCCTCCGGGAATTCCTTCAACAAGAGGAGACTGGGAATTTGTCGGCGGCACAGCTGATCCGCCACCTGGTTCTCCAGCTGATGGAAACCGACTCACCGTTGAAGGAGTATATGCTTTGGTCTCTACAGCCCCCGACGCGGAGAGAGGGCAGGGTGCTGAATCTGTTCCCCCTCCCGCTGTGGTTTGATGGCCGTGAAGCCCTGACTGAGATCTTAGATGAAGCCCAGGTACGTGACCAACCAGGTTCGTGGCGCAACAGAGGCCGCACCAAGTCGAAGGCAGCCAAGGCTCTTAGGGGTAATGGCTTGAGGGCCTGGCATGGGCTAGTTGTGGTCGCCCTGAACCATCTTTATGGTGATGAGCCGAGGGGCGAAAGGCCATGCGCAGGTGGCCAGGCCACAGCGGCACAAGAGCAGGCCCTGAATACACTGTGGGAATTAGTGAAATCGTTCATTGATGAACGTGAGAGGGCCGGAGTCCCTAGATCTTCTCAGGAAGATTGGGGGCATGCCATAGACGACTTGAAGGTAAGTTACATTGGTGAGGTGTTTCAGAAAGCGGTGCCGCCTGCCCTGGCCCAAGTGCTGCCAGGCCTGCCGAGCGTAGAACATGGCGGGTCTGTGGATATAATGGAAGTGCTGCCTCCACATTTGCAGGAGGCATTGAAGCACCCGGAGAAGATGATGGTGGAACCGCCTCAGGGCCCTAGACCTCACCCAAAGGTTAGGGTAGTTGATGGAGAGTGGCCCAAGATAGCCCGGGCCCTGTTTGACAGAGGGCTTATCCGGCCTGTCAATCACTGTCCGGTGCTGGATGGTGAAAAAGTGCTGAACGGTGCATTCGGCGTGGGGATGCCCGACAAGGTGACAGAGAAAGGGGAGCCGGTGCTGCGGCTCATAATGGACCTTAGGGCCACAAACTACTGCATGAAGCAAATAGATGGCGAGGTCGGCCATCTTTGTGGTGCGGCGTCCTTCCAGAGGGTGGTCATAGAAAGTGGCCAGGAGCTCCTAGTCAGTGGAGAGGATCTGACCGCAGGTTTCTGTCTGTTCAGGCTCCCCGAGGAGTGGAGCAACTACATGGTGCTCGAAAAGCCGGTGGCCCGCTCAGAGCTAGGTCTGGCAGGAGACGGTGAGACGCTCCTGGGCTTACCAGTGCTGCCCATGGGTTGGCATTCAGCGGTGGGGTTGATGCAAGCCTGCCACAGGGCAATAGCGCTGAGGAGTGCCAGTTTGGGTGGCGCAGGTCTGAAACCCCTTGCGGAGATTTCAAAGGCCGCCATCTTCCCAGACTGTGAAGTAGCAGCTGGCTGGAGCATTTATCTGGACGACACCACTGTCCTTGAGAAGGTCCAAATGGTGGTAGCTGAGCAATTGGCAGGCAGCCCAGCGGAAGAGCAGAAGCAGCTTCGCCAGGCCTACGCATGGTGGGGAATTCCTACAGATGCGGCCAAGAGCCTCGAGCGTGTGAGGCAGACTGAGCGGCTGGGCGCATTAATCGATGACGAGGCTGGGGTATTGAGGACCAAGACAAAGAGAAGCCTAGACCTCTTTGGGTATGGCTCTTGGATTCGTGGATGTCCCCAAGTCCCACGGAAAGCCCTGCATTTACGCGGGTAAGGCGGTGCACATTCTACAGTTCAGAAGGTGCTTGTTCTCAATTATGGAAGAGATTGTTGCGATGATCGCGCATGGAGGCGAGGTGGTCACAGTTTCTGATGCGCTGGCAGAGGAGATGTTGTTACTTGAGGCACTCTTACCACTAGCACAGTTCGACCTGAAGGCAAAGGTGGACCCAGTGGTCACCTGCAGTGATGCCTCTGAGAGTGGCGGGGGGCTCTGCTTCTCGTCACGGCTCAGCTGGGCCGGACGTGCTGAAGCCGAGTGGCTCATGAAGGAAGGGTCGGAAAGAGACCCCCAGCAGCTGGATGTGGAGGTGGTGTCGGAAGAAAAGATACTGGTGATCGACTTAACTGGGTGGCCTTGAAGTGGCCTTAGAAAAGGCTGGCGTGAAGGTTCTCCACTCGCTCATGGTGGAAAAGGATGTGGATTGTCGGCGCCTGTTGAGGCGAAAGTATCCTGGGTCCGACTTCTGCAGCGACATCACCAAGTTCAATGAGGGGCTCTTGAAGAGGGCGATGGAGAAGGTGCCTGGCCTCACAGGCATATAGTCGGAGGTGGGAGCCCTTGTCAAGGTCTCAGCCGACTTTCGTCGGAGAGGGGCCACCTGGAGGAGGAACGCAGTGCCTTGTTTTATGAGGCAGTGCGCGTGATGGAGATGGTTGAGAGCATGGCCACCGAGCGGCGCCTGTGGGTGATCAAGTTCCTCGAGAATGTGGTGCCGGATGCAAACGACATTGATGAGATGTCGGCAGCCTTAAAAATCCACCCGTTTTTGGTGGAGTCAGGAAAGCTCAGTAGGGTGCGCAGGCCACGCCTGTATTGGCTGTCCATCCCAGTAGGGGACCCGGGCCCCTTATGTATATGCCGAGCAGTTTTTGGTGAAGGGTAATGATGACGTCCTCAGTCTGAGAGGGAGGTCTTGATGGGGTACCCCCGGGGGTACACATCAGCTCTCCTGAAGAAGATGCCCGAAGGGCAAGAAGAGATCAGGTATGCAGAAGATCTCCGTTGCGCTGCCATTGGCAATTGAAATACGGTAGCTGCCATCTTTGACAAGGCCTTTGCCTCTATGGGGCTGAAAAAGGAAAAAGGTGTGCAGAAAATAGTTGATCAATTCGTGAGCAGCTTGGAGGCACCTCCGGAACCAAGCTTGACGACCGATGCCCCGGTGTCAGAGGGGGAGGACATGATCCTGCAACGTGAAGATGATGAAGAGAGCCTGATGGGTGTTTTGGCTCAGGCGGAGTTGGAATTGAAGGGGCAAACATTCCCGACAGAGGAGGAAATTTTCGAAGCAGGAAAGCGCCTGAGCGTCAAACTGGTGTCAGCGTTCATTCGCAGGCAAGAACTGAGAGGCTCAGACGTCCGTTTGGACGTAGGGTCCCTGTACAGGCCCGAGGCTTTCCCAAGAGGATCGATTGACCCGTCAAAGTGGCTCTGGCACGTGGGCTTGGCTTACCGCTTCAAACACAAGGAACACATAAACCTCTTGCAGCTGAAGGCCCTTGTGGGCGCATTCGAATGGCGCCTGAGGTCAGCGGCGTTTTCAAACTGCCGTGCCCTACACCTGACAAACTCGGTGGTAAGCCTGTCAGCGGCGGTAAGGGGGCCGCTCGAGCTCGAGAGCTTTGAACAAACTCCTTCGGCGGCTTGCGGCTCTTCAATGTGGTGGCGGAGTGTACCCAGTATTGGGCTGGGTCGAGTCCGAGGAAAATCCTGCACGCGAGCCGTCACGGCGCTATACTGCGTAAACACAGGGTTGAAGCCCAGCAGACGTTGGAAGTTTGAGGAGAGACAGGAGAAAGAGTGGGAAGTTGAATCTTCAAGTCATTAGCCGGACCACTGAAGAACGCTATGCCCAGGCGTTCTGAAGGTCCCAAACGTTTTCACAACCTTGGTAGGGGTTTTTGCAATGCGAACTATGAAGAATTTGATGGTACAGTTGCAGATTAATTATTGAAAATTTTTTCTGGAGGAGTGGCGAGCCAAGGCTATGCCAACTACACCCTTGCGGCAGTGTAAATTACTGGCCGCAAACACTCCAGCACCTTGTGACAGGCTGGAAACTGGCAACTATCTGGTACCAAGTTGAGATGCCAGCAGGGAGAACATCTGGGTCTCCCAGGGTAATGCAGGCCTTCAGGGGGTAGCATTACTTTAGCTGCTGCAATTGGCACCTCAGCATGTCATTTTGTCCAGCCTGCTCGCAATCGTTTTGTAGAGCCCGGAAGGAAGCAAAAGCCTTTTCTTTTCACATCAAGGCTTGAATGATGAGCCTATATCTTTTTCAGCCCTTAGAGGGAAGCTGAAAAATGAAAAGGGGATAAATGCCCCCTCATTGGGGTGAGTCCAGGTGATCTTTCGTGGATACCTGGCACAGCCAGAACCTACCTGGAACAGGCCTACAAGCCTTACAATGTCGTTGACATTCCCCACAGCCTCCCCTCCCTGTCTACAAGCGGCCATTAGATTTCTTATCTGTGAGCCAGCAGGGAGCGCGTGGAAGGTAGGGTAAGTAGTCCCTCACTTATGGCCTTCAATGAAGGGCTATGGGTGGGGTTGACATGGCGCTTGTAGCCTGTAAATCAGAGGGCACGGACTGTAGAGTCAAAAACAACAGCCGTGCGTCGGAGCTGCAGGCGGCAGGAATGCATGGTTTCTCCTGTAGGAGATTTATGCATGAAAAGCCTGCTGCGCAGTTTCGGCTCCCACCTCCTCACCCCCGCCGTAGTCCCTCACTTATGGCCTTCAATGAAGGGCTATGGGTGGGGTTGACATGGCACTTGTAGCCTGTAAATCAGAGGGCGCAGACTGTAGAGTCAAAAACAACAGCCGTGCGTCGGAGCTGCAGGCGGCAGGAATGCATATATATATATATATACTGTATAATATATATATACTGTATAATATATATATACTGTATAATATATATATATATATATATATACATGTGTGTGTACAATATACATGATACGTTTGGGAAAAGCACAAATATTGCTGGACAGTGTTGCCTGCTTCACATTTTGGTGTTGCCGCAAACCAAGGAGCCCTGCAGGGTGCTGCAAAGTTTGCTGGTTCGGACTGATGCCAAAATGGTCCTGACCAGCCACTGGAGACGGCACAAGGCAAAAGGTTTCTTCCTTATGGCATGGCAATCAGCTTCGCACTAGACATGGCATCTGGATGTGGATGGTCCCAGAAATAATGCTGATAATGTCATATAATGTCAATATATGTCAATCAAAAAAGACCAAGATTCAGTGAAGATAGGCATTGAGGAGCCACCCTCAGGCCACAGGGGCCCCGGTGTAATGCCCATGTCTCCAATTTTCAGATCTGTGGCGCCTATGGAGGCATGTGTTGGAGGTTCTTGGGAACTATGGAGTGTTGCCCAAACGCGAGGTGGACACAACACCTTTCAATGCGGATACGTCCAGGAAACCGGTCATGGGGAGAGTTGCCAGGTATGTTTCTTCATGGTTCTTCCATTTCGGAACGACAGATTTGACAGGGCAGGGATTGTTGCACTCTCTGAGCTGTTGTTTTGCCAGGAGGGACTTAGAAATCTTGCAGTGGCTGAACACCCATCGGCAGGAGGCAGCACAATGGACGACATGGCACAACTCAAGGACAACGGAGAGTTGCAAGGACAATCATATCTCTGGCACTCCCAAGCGCAGATTGGCCGGTTCTTGTGAGTCGCTGCTTTTCACCAAAAGAAGAAGCATGAGACGCTCAAGAAACAAACGACAACACCCAGTGGCGTTTCCCAACCCTTCTCCAAAACTCAACCCAAAAATCAACCAACAACCCCTGGAGAAACACACTCACACTCCATCAAAATCCCTGAAAAATTTGCTATACTAAGTTACTAAGTATATCTACCACCAAGCTCTACGATTCTACCAAGCTCCACCAAGCTTTACCAGGTGGCCGCATGGTTCGTGTTGGACTCGCAGACCTTGCTGCAGCACCCGGGCCCGGCTGCGCGGCTGGAAGGCCACGTGCGCCAGGTGCAGGGCAGCCTCAGTGCCGCCGATACTGCGGCAGCGGAGGCGGTGCTGGGAACGGCAGTGCCCACGCCCTTGGATGGGCTGAAGATGGATGAAGAGTGCCTCGGTGGAAGATGGTGGAAATGCAGCAAGTTTGATTGCTATTGATTACATACATTTACATATATACATGGGAGGCACATATATGATCGTATATGATATGTAAGAATGTGTCAGTATGTAATGTAATTATATACGATGTGCATGTGTTTGTCTATATGTATTGAAAAAAAAGATCAAAAATGAAAGACCTGGGAGAGAGGGAGAGAAGGAGAGAGAGAGAGAGAGAGATAGATACAGTAGATAGATAGATCGATCGATCGATCAAATTGAAAAAACTACATGCACGCACGGTGTCGAAATTTCCGATGGGTAGCTTTCAGGTTGGTCTTCAAGATGCAGGATGTCATGATGCTGTTGTCTTCCTCGCCGCAGTTCCATCCGCCGCCAAGAGCGACTGAAAACTCAAGTGCTGCGAGTTCCTTGCAAGTCAACTTTAGAAGTGTTTCTTCCAGTATTGCATCCAGTGCGCACTTGCTACAGTGCCGATATTCCGGTGACATTTGTTGACACCTGTTTACATTTATCGAGATCTTTGTTATGTAGGACCGCAGACGCATGCAGAAAGCATGAGAGCGTAATTCAGTCTGAAACGCAGCACCTGCCGCAAGATCCCCCGCCCGCACACATCCGCTCACTTTTCCGCAATAATCATTTGGGGTGCCATTTTGCTGCATATTCTGAGGTGAGTTTGATCGGCTTCTGCAAGAAGCGAAGCAACGCTTTCGCTGATCTCTTGGCATGCTGGCTCAAGCTTCTCAAAGGCTGGCACACCGCATCACACCGCCCAAGCCACACTCGGCAGTTGCTGTAGATTTGCATGCCAATGGCCTTAGTATATTCTCGTTCAGGTTGCTTTCAAGGTTTCTGATTCGCTGGCTAGGTCCACGTGGAGGATGGCGGAGGTATGGAAAGTAAATTCATTGGCCTTAGGAAGCCTTAGGATTAGGCACCATGCTTTCCATATAAAATTTATTGGTTGCAGATGTTTCCAGGTGCATTTCCCCAACATCAGAAGCACTCATTGGATTCACCTTAATTAATCCCTTCACCAGAAGATTAAACGTCCCCCCCAAAAAAAACTAGGGTTAGTTTTTATTATTAAGGGGTATTTAATGTTCAGAGGAGAAGCTGGCTCCTAATATTAAATCAAAGACCGTAATTTAAAAAACTAAAATTGTCGATTTCAAAATCGATTAAATTCCTTTTAAAATCGTATTTTCAGGTTTCGGTTATAGCTATAATGCCAAGTAGACCGATAAAACTGCAAATGCATGACAGCAAAACAAAACTTTTCCTCACAGGTGAGTCAAGCCACGACCGGCTGCAGGCAGATCACTCTGAAAGGACACTAGCCCCCTTTGGAGCTAGCGGTGGATTCTCATCTGTTCCACAAAGGCCCGGTTCGCCAACACCCGCTGCCGGTATGACCTCTCCCTTGCCGCTGCGTCTGCACGAAGTTTCCGGGCTACTTCTGTATCACGAAGTGCCCACGTCGCCGTCATCAAGGCATTCATCAATTTCTGGTTGCCACACAGCTTGGTCAAGTCATTTGCAATCAGCTCTTCTCCCGGGACCCAACGGATGAGTCTGCCACCAGCATCCTCAGATAAGGACTGTTTGAGAGCGGCGATGTCAATCGCCAGCCGCTTGTCCTCACCCAAGGCCGTGCCATTCAGTGGATCATATCCCGTTCGGGAATCCAAAACCAGCACCAATTTCCAGAGGGCCGCCACGGCGATCCAATTCGCCAGCGAGAAGTCGGGCTTCAACACCTCGGCCAAAAACGCCCTGGTGAAGTCCGCCTCCTCCAAAGCGCTGGCAGCCTGCGATATCTCCGCAGCCAAACTGGATCTGACCACTCTCTTCTAGAGGCCTGAGTGACGGGTCACGATGCACAGTTTGGATTGCCCCTCTAAGATCTTCAGGTTTGCGAAAGCCACAACCAAACCACCTTGAGAACGTCCTCGAGGCATCCCGGCAAATGAGGCATCCGAGACGGCCAGCACAATCATCTCCGACATGCCCGACCCACCAGGATCTTGAGTTCAGTGAGCGCTGATGGGTCATTGACTCCCGCCAGCTGTTGAATCCTTGGCACTCCAAAAGACAGGTCTGCCCGGCACTGACGTGTCATCCAGTTCAATTGGCCCGTAATTGTTCCAATCAACTTCTTTTCATTGGGTTGTAACGGATGCGCTGTTGTGACGACTGTCTCAAAGGCGGATCCATCAGCCGCTCGGCATAGGAATCCATTTGCATCAGCACGGTGCCGTCCTCAAGCTGCTTCTCATAGCGTCCACAAAACTTTGTCCAGTCACCAGGATGTTTCCATTCTCCAAAGCTGAACAAGGCATGGAGGTTGTCATGCATCTCCTGCTGATGATCTGGATGTGCAATCAGGCGTACGTCATCCACGTGTACCGCCAAAAGAGCTCGTAGTTGCGCATCAGGTCCAAAAAATGAGAAAACGCCAGGACATAGTTTCATCTCCCGGCCCCCAATGGACTCAGCATCTCTCTTGAAACGATGATACCATAGCCATAGACGTGGTGATTCTGCCAATCCAAATCCTGCCTTCTTCATGCGAAAAAGGTCGGTTCGGGCTTCAGCAGGGATCTTGTTCTGCAGGAACTGCCTGACAAACAAGGGGTACCAGTAGTTCTTGGGGGTGTGGACAAAGACCCTTTTCTCCGCAGGCAAATAGTCTCCCTGCAAAAAGGCAGCTGAAATGTCTGAGAAGAATACCTTGCAGTTCCACTGTGCCGCACAAAAGCAGAGGAGATTCTGAGCCAGCAAGCTAGCTGTAGGACTCTTCGTCTCATATTCTCCAGCTCGCATGTCTCGATGACCTGCAATGGCCAATCTGGCCTTCAAGGAAGCGCCTTCCAGGGCATTGTCATCTGGGTGAATGTTCCTCGGGTCACTCTGGTTCACCAAAAACCCGGAAGGAAGAATCTCCGTTCGATCCACCACTTCATCTTCCATGACGTGAGTCAACGCGTCATGCTTGAAGCCAAGGCGTCCAAGATCGGCTGCTCAAATGCCCTCTGCCATGCCGGTGATAGATCTGACCACTTCAGCTCCAATCTGACCTTGCCTGTCTCAGGTTGTTGGGCATCCCGAAGATCCTCCGGATCGTCCACCAATTCTTTGATGCCGGCATGCTGTGATTGCTGATTTGGACAAGGCAAATCTGAAAAGCGCACAAAGTTGAAAAACACTTCCTGGAGCTCCTGCTGAACTACATTGATGTCTGCTGCCGCATGTGAATCTCCTCCTGCACCTCCGGCATGTCCAGGGGTCCAAAATGCTGAACCATCATGTCATAATTGGGCCAACCTGTAGCCTCTCGAATTTCCAAGAAAGCCTGAACAGCTTTCTGACCGTCTCTCCACATCTGCTCAGCATGATGTCTTCCCTTCATCCAAGCGTCGAAAGGAATCTTGTATTCTGTCGGGTCCTTGATCTGGTATCTGGTCAACCCTTGCCAAAATCCACCCAAGTTCTGTTGAGTGTTCCATTGAGGCCTCATTCCTTGTCCAACCCAAGTCAGGTTGTCCACAATGAAGTCATTCATCATGAGACTCGGCGGCCGCTGGTAGAAGGGGTCCAACACCATCATACGAGCTTGACCCCACCTCAGTGGATTGGATTGTGCAAGTAGTACACCTGAGTGGCTCGGACACCAGTGAGCCAATCCTTGCTAATCAGCTTGTGGAACTCTCGATGTGCTGCTTCTTCATTGTCACATCAGTAGAAGGCCAAAATGTCGAACATGTGCACTCGGCAAAGTTCACCTTCTTCGACACTTAGGATCCAATAGTCCCGAGATGGAGGAGGTTCTTGTTTTTGGTTTCGGATGATAGGCTCAAACTCTTCCCTCTTGACTGAGTGGTCTCCGCATGCGAGGAGGCACCTCACGCAGCATAGGAGCCATTGTCGGGGGAAGCCGCATTCTTGTCTGCGGAGTGGCTGGCATTGAAGGTGTTGTCAAATATCCAGGCATTTGGTTCAACCAACGAGCGTCTCGATGTAGCACACAGCGCTCTACTCCTTCAACTCCTCCGTCAGTTTCAAAATCCGACGGCATGTCAAATGCTGGTATTTGAAGATCTGCATGATCTCTCACCGGCAAGGTCGCCAACACATTGGTGTCTATTGACACTGCCAGAGCCTCCACCATGTTCTCGTCAGAGTCAGAGAACTCCGTGTTGTAGAACCTGTGTACATCTACAAACGGAGGGTCATCACCTTTGAGGTCGATGCCGAGTCGATGCTCACCTTCTCCTGAGAAGGGCTCGATTGAGTCGGCATCGTCACCTGCACTGATCTGGGCTGCAGCTTCTCTCTCATTCGCTGCAGGTGCTTCTGTGTCTTGTCCATGGCGCCATCAAACACCGCTCGTCTCTCAGAAAATGACTTCAGTGCTGGGTCACCTCTGAGCCCAGTGAACCGTAATTTCTTCTGAGGACGGCTTGAGTTCTCCTTCTGGGACGGCACCTGTTTCTTGTAAATGGAAATCGGCACATCATCCAACACTGGTGGGGAGCTCCGACCTTCTTGTTCTTCATCTGAAAACTCAGCAGGGGGAAATTGAGGATCATGCAAGGGCTTCGGATCATTGATGCCCGTAGCCCCATCTTTCCGTTCCAGAGCCACCACCAATCCGGGCCCCACCCATGAAATTGTTGTCCTGAAGTCGCCGGGCAAGGCCCCGGCGATTTGCCGGTGGTTTCCAAAACATCACCTGGGCTCCTTCCGCCAGTAATTCAAGCTTCGGAAGTCTTGACCGAGATCCAGCTGCTCGCTTCAAGGCCTCATTTGCCTCCATCCACTGGAAGGCATCTGATGCTGCCTTCCACTGAAGCTGGTCGTGAAAGTTGAAATTACATCTGCCCCGCCAAAGCATCCATCAAGGTCCCTGGCATAGTCGAATCCCTGCCGAACACCAGCTGGACTGGCGAGTATCCCGCTACCCGCACTTGTTGGTTCCTCGAGGCTGTGACCAAGGCTACAGCTGACTGAAGGTCCTCCAAGCCCGTGACCACTGTCTCCTTGATCACCTTCATGAGGAGAACTTTCAGAACAGCCCCATGCCTCTCCGCCAGGGACATCCTCCAATGTGCCGTAGGCGGAACCACTTCATGGAAAACGGCAAATGTTAGGAGGGGCTCCAGGATACCTCGGAACTCCGTTCCTTGCTCAGTCATCAGGATGCTTGGAGGTCCAAACACCCCGATCCATCTATCTCGAAGAAGTTGGGTTGTATTCTCGGCTGATGGATCCTTCATGGCCATGGCAATCTGGTACAACGAGAGTCACCGCAAACTTCTCATTCTTGGCGTCCCACACGTAGAAGGTGTCCGACAAGATCCTTTCATTGAACACCATCGGTCTCTGAAAGGCTGCCTTGGGGGTTGCCATAGGTGACGTCACTTGAGAACATATTTGACACTTCAGATGCTTCACCGCCTCGATGATCTCCGACTGAGCTCCATTCAGATGGAGCATCCTCTGCAACTTCTCGTTTGTGACATGGCCCGGCGCCACATGCAAGTGCGCCAAGGTAGATCGGATGCGAATCAACGACCCTCCAGCTAAGCTGTGGTTGTCGCTCTTTGTTGACAGTGACTTCGGTTTGTCACCTGACATGAAGTCGACTAGTGGCTTTATATCATCGCTCTTGAAGGTCCAGGTTCGTTTCCTATTATTCTTTGGGATTCAAAAACCCATCAAAACCCAGAGAGCTGTCTTTAGATCAACGACAGAAGCTGCGTTTGTGGCCTTGGGCATTTTGGATTTGCTCTGCATCAAGCCCATTACAGCCACTTAGGTTTGGACTTGTCTGCGGGAATCCTCCTGTCACCGCAATCAAACTGCTGTTGACAAACCGTGACAAACCTTTTGGAATTTCATAACTCGTCAGTTTCATTTGAGATCTCAACCACAGCTACTGTTGTCTGGTTTCAGTATGCTGCACGCCGTTCAGGGCACAGTTTTGTGGATGTAACTAAGTTCCATCTACAATTTCAGTCTTTGGATTTTTCTTTGCCATCTCCATTGGACTTCAATCACAACTGCCGGAGTTTAATTCAGCATGTTGCAGTCGCTAAGCGCAGGTTTATGTGGATGTCACTAAGTTCCATCTGCATTTTCACTTTGGGCCTGCCTAGTCAGATCATTATGTCATTTAAATTTTCTTTGGAACATCCTTGTCCATGCTTAATGGTGGTTGGCTGCTACGGCGCCTCGCCTAATGCTTTTGGACTTCATGCATCCGTAATTGATTTGGATTTCATGCGTCCGTAATTAGGCATCCGCTAGGTGCACGGATTGAAATTGCCGGGCATGATGGATTCAGTAAAGAGAACCCTTCCATCCTCTGCCTGGATAACATTCACTGGGCCATGAGACATGCTAGGAATGCATCCGACCGTAGGCTTGATCATCCTCCGGTAGTTTGTACTCCTGTGTTCGACCCTGTATATATATATATAGCTCATGATAAGGGGGGCTTGAAAGAAATGGAGGTTCACCATACCCATCGTTTCATATTTTTAATGTATCCTTCCCTACGGGTCAACACGTAGTCATGACTTGGTGCCAACAACTTGTTGGCTCAAGATGGTAAAACAAGTCCGCTGCCGTTGCTTCCGGTGAGCCGCGTTTAACTTGTTTCTTTTGTGGTTTTGGGGTAATCATTCACGGTTCAGGTTTTTTATTTCGGGGAGGTTTAGTAGTAAGGGAGTGAGTAATTCAGTTCCACCAAGTCCCTCATGATCCGGCGGCAGGTGAGTTGGGCGAGGCAAAATGCCTCCACAGCTACCATTCGCAGAGACAAAAAGATCGCCATGTTGGCCGGCTGCGGGTCACCATTGGTCACCTGTTTGGAGGGGTTCGCGGCTAATATCTATCGCCCCCAAACCTTGAAAAAAACGACTGAGGCTGGTTTGGAGTGGCTGGTTTCCACTGCTCAGCCTGGTGGTAGGCTCAGTTGCGGCACAAGCGGTGCAGAATTGCTCGCGAGCTGGTTGATTTCAGATATTTGCTATTCCCTGCCCAGCCCTGTCCCTGAGATCCCCAATGCCAAAGAAACAAGACAAATAATTTGTTTGGGAAATTCTTCTATAAAATAGAGGTACCTGGGTACTTCTGGGTACCTTTATAACCCTCCATTTGACTCCTTCTACATGTTTTTTCCCCACCTGCCAGGTGAGGGTTGTTAGATTTTATCAGAGCTGTTCTCCTCCTCCTCCGCCTCCTCCTCCTCGCAGTCCAGATCCCAGTGGGCACAGCCGGACCTCCACCGCGAGCTCCAGATCCCAGTGGGCACTGCCGGACCTCAACCGCGAGCTCCAGATCCCAGTGAACACTGCCGGACCTCAACCGCGACTTCCAGGTTGCAGTGGGCACTGCCGGACCTCAACCGCGACTTCCAGATCGCAGTGGGCACTGCCGGACCTCAACCGCGAGCTCCAGATCCCAGTGGGCACTGCCGGACCTCAACGGCCAGATAGAATGCCAGAAGATATGCCAGATAGAATGCGAGAAGATATGCCAGATAGAATGCCAGAAGATTTGCCAGATAGAATGCCAAAAGATATGCCAGAACATATGCCAGAAGATATGCCAGATAGAATGCCAGATAGAATGCCAGAAGATATGTCAGATAGAATGCCAGAAGATTTGCCAG